GAGAGAGAGAGAGAGAGAGAGAGAGAGAGAGAGACCAACTGCCTGTTTTCTCATGCCCTCCGGGCAAAAAGCCTCCCCCCCACTTCCCCGCAACACACACATGCAGGCACACCCACCCCCGGTGTTTCTCAAAGCCCCAGAGAGCTAAAGCCAGGAAAAATGTCCTTTAAAAAATAAAGAGAGAGAGAGAGTGAGAAACAAACACACAAACCCATTTTCTCAAGTCCTCCATGCAAAATGAGAGAATCCTCAGCTACAGTTTAAAAAAATCCTTCTTAAAAACAAAGTCAGCCTGTGGAAAAGTAGAGCCGTGGTGCTCCCTGTGAGAGTTCTAGCAGAATAGCTTCCAGAGAGAGAGTCCAGCCAGCACTTGCTGGTGGGTAGGCTGCAAAGGAGGCAGCCAATTAGATAGGAGCATGAAGCAAAGGCGGAAGGCGGGAGTTTTTGCAATCTCATGGCTTCTGTTGACCCCCCCCCCCACCTAAGCATGCACTTTGGTATTCCACCTGTGCATAAACACCACAGCCAGAGTGTTTGGGGCATCATTGTGTCAAGGGCTGGGCTGTTTTCCCACTCACTTCCTCTCTTACCAGCCTCCCCCCACCCCTCCCAGAGCCTGGCTGTGTCACTGACAACAGTGTGCTTGCTAACTGGTGATATGAGTTGTGTATCCAACAGGGGAATGTGCCCCAATGCGAAATTACTTTTTTGAGGCATCTGGCTGTGTGCGAAGGTCCCCACCCTCCTACAAAGTAGCACATAACCCCCCCCCCTTTCCTTTCTTTGCACGTTCTGGCGCTAAGTTAAGAGTCAACAGCGCCTTCTGGATGTGATTCAACGCACATCCAGTGTAAAGTAGAATTAAATCATTTTTTATTAAGCTCCTCCACATGCATTCAGAAGATTTCTTTACTTACAATCGAGGCTGAATAACTGGTGAAGTTCACATCTTTGTAATCTAATTCAGTTCACTGGCTCATGGTGAAAAAGATTGCGCGTTCCCACCTCCTTTGCCGTTTAAAGAGTAGACAAAGAAACGGGAAGAAAGCTGTAAACTCATATCCTTGCGCCTCTGGGTGCAGGAAATGACTGTTAATCAGCCAGTCACAGTGATACTTTGGGATGTCTAACTAAAGACTTCAATTCCCAGGGGCAACTTAAAGATATGTGGCAGTTCTACTTAACTACAGTTAAACGCTGGCTGGGGCAGCACACTCCCCGCCCTGGAATCCTACGGGTTCCACTACCCACATGCATTGCTAACAAGCCTTACAACTTTAACTATGCATAATTGGCATGCTACACTGCTAACTATGTTCTATACAGAAATAAGACATGCAAAACTTGAGTCTTCAATCTTCGAGTTCTTCCTTGGTGCAGAGCAGAACCACATCTGTGATTGGCCTGGTAAAAGTCTTGGTCGGCCAGGGGCGGTCCTGTGGGCTATACCGTGCGACGATACTGACGTCAATCTTGCGGACCAGTTCATCTTTGCCAGGCAAGGCCCGATCTACAAGTCCTATGGGCCACGAGTTGCGGGGTGCATCTTTTTCCCTCAGCAACACGACATCTCCTTCCTGCAGGTTAGGCTTGTTTTCTTCCCATTTGCGTTGACTCTGTAAAGTTGGAAGATATTCTTGCTTCCAGCGCTTCCAGAAGGTGTTCGCTAGGAGTTGAACTTGCCTCCACTGTTGTTTGAACATGTCTTTGGCCGCGAAGGTCCCTTGAGGTGCTGGCCATTTGCCTGTCTTTAGTGTCAGCAAAGTTGCTGGTGTCAGGATGGTTGGGTTCTCAGGATCTGAGGACACTGGAACTAGAGGTCTTGTGTTGATGATGGCAGAGACTTCCGCTAGGAGAGTAGACAACATCTCGTGCATGAGGGAAGGTGTTTCTGCCAGCATGGAAGCACCAGGTCCAGATCTCCCGGACTACAGTCTGACTGGCCATCCAACAACAGATAGAGCTGGGTATCGTTGGCATATTGATGACAACCCAGCCCATGTCTCCGGGCAATCTGGGCGAGGGGGCGCATATAGATGTTAAACAGCACTGGGGAGAGCACTGCACCTTGAGGCACTCCGCACACTAGCGGGTGCCTTCCGAACAGCTGCTCCCCAACTGCCACCCTTTGTCCCTGATCCTGAAGAAACGAGGAGAGCCACTGTAAGGCAAACCCCTGAATCCCGATATCGGTGAGGCGGTGGACCACTAGTTGATGGTCGACGGTGTTGAATGCCACTGACAGGTCTAACAACATCAACATCGCCATACTGCCTCGATCCAGATGCTTTCAGAGATCATCTGTGAGGGCAACCAGGACTGTCTCTGTCCCATGGCCTGGTCAGAAACCGGACTGGAAGGGGTCTAATATGGAGGTGTCATCCAAAAAGCCCTGCAACCGAGTCACCACCGCCTTCTCGATTAGTTTACCCAAGTAGGGTAAATTGGATAGTTGGCTAATTCAGCCGGATCGAGCAATGCCTTTTTTAACAGGGGGCTTTTTTAACAGGGGGCTATGTTCCTTCAGGGCACTAGGGAACAGGCCCTCCATAAGGGATGTGTTGATAATCCCCCTTAGTGCCCCTTATAACCCATCGCGGCCAGCCTTAATCAGCCACGAAGGGCACAGGTCCAGACTGCAGGTGGTTGGGTGAACTGATGAGAACAATTTGTCAACCTCCTCTAGACTGAGCGGATCAAAATAATCCAGAACTTGACCAGAAGACGTGCATGGAGCCTCAAGTTCCGTTACTGTCTTAACTGTGGCACGGAGGTCGTGGTGGAGCGACAAGATTTTATCTGCGAATCTATTAGTTCCATAGATCAGTTTCAGTGGTGCAAGGTCGTATGATAATTAGGTATTTGACAAGGTCCCCCCCCCCCCCTGTTAAGGCTGGTTTTAAAGCTTTATTCTTTTGGGGTGGTATCGTTTGTATTTTTCATATATGTGTGTGCTCGTGTGTGTGTGTGCACCTGTAAGTCATGGCGACCTCTGGTGGCTGACCACTACTGGGGCACATACCAAACTAAGAGAATCACGGAATTCGTTGAATATTTTCATATGTATTGCACTGTTCACTTAAAATTATAAAAACTATAAAATACTTTTGTAATTATCATTCATTTGTTTGTCACCGTTTATTCTCATTTGGTATCTATGACCCCTACTGGGGGCCTGGAGGATATTCAGAGAGGTGGCTGAATGAAGCCTGCCCCTGCCTCCAGTATTCCAAGGAGGAATCCCATCCAAGTACTTGCCAGAGCCGACCCTGCTTAGCTTCCAAGATCTGACAAGATGGGGCCTGCCTGGGCTATCCATGCAGTTTTGTTAAAGCACAAGGAAGGGCAATGAAATAATAAATGGATTCAGAATTCTAGTGTTTGTTAGAAATAAGGAAATAATCTCTTTACTCCATGCAACAGCACGCCTGACAATTGCTTCGTGTTGGAAATCCCCATCGCCACCAACGTTAACCGCTTGGCATGAAAAAGTGTGGGAACAATTTGTGATGGCAAAAATCTCAGATAAAGTACATAGAGCACAAACATCTCAGTCTACCAATTCCAAATTTGAATCAACCTGGTTTCCAATATTCTCGTATCTCAGCACACATGATATACTTCCTGCAAACCCACATTATCATAAATGGTTATTGTTGTGAAACACTAGTGGGAAAAGATAATATTCGTAATCCTTACTCCTCTACCTCTACAGACTAATGACCTTGGGTATTATAGAAGATCTCTTTGTTGAAATGTTAAGCTAACTCTGACTTAGCTTTCATATGTTATTGAATTGTACTTCTATGTTTATGTATCTCTGTTGATGGCAACAGTATGGCATAAATTATTTTGAAAAAATAATTAAAGATTTTAAAAAAAGAATTCTAGCGTTTAAAAGGAGGAAACACTCTGTCATTTCAGACAGAACCCGTTTGAGAACTGGTTCCCTTCCGGAATCTATTTGCCATTTCATACACAAATGCTTCAGTCCCGTTTAGGAACCGGGACTGAAGCGTTTTACCTGTCATCCACTTCCAAGTGGTCTCCAGTGCTCTCTCCCGGTTCCAATACACTTTTCCCCCGCCTTTTTTCGCCCACGCGGGCGACCTCCAGCTGGTTTTTTTTTTTACGTTCAATTTATAGCGTTATAGCGCTATAACGCTATAACGGTATAACGGAATAGCATTATATCAATCAAATTGGAATGCATGGAGTGTCTTGTTATACTGCTATAGCGCTGTAGAGCTATAAATCAAACGTGTGTTTTTTTTAAAAAAATTGATCACCCGCACGGGAGGAAAACGGCGGGAAAACAAAGCAGTGCAAGTCTGGAATGCCAAACCCTGTTTTCACTGGGAAGCTTTTCAGTTTTAATATGGGGAAAAATCTGGTGAACTTATACAAACTGTGTGGTGGGAACTCATTCAGGTGGAGTTGTGTCGTGGCCATTGCTGGTCCTGGGCAGGTTGCGCAAAGAGTGTGAAAGGGGCTACTGGGCTAAGGTTGGCAGCCTTCAGGTGGGGCCTGGAGATCTGCCAGAATTAGGGTTGCCAGACAGGGGTGGACTAGGAGGCCAAAAAAGCTGTGGAAAGGACATTAACATTTTAAAATTCTGCAGATATGCAAAACCGATGCACCGTATCACATTTGGTGTGTGTTTTTAGCCTTGTATTGGACTGCCAATTGGTTCCTCTGTCCAATCCAGGGAACCTGGTTTTATTTTTAAAACTCTTCATGCCCTACAGCCCAGATGCTTGAAGGACCACCTCTCCTCATATGAGCCCGTGCAGCAATATCCCAACTCCTGCAAGAGCATGATAATTGCTAGCCACTTATTGGCTTTTTTGGTGGGTGCTCCAGTTTTCTGGGACAGCCTTCCAGAAGAAACTGAAACGTCTACATCTCTGTTGCTGTTTCTAAGCAGCTGCACATTGGAATTCTCTAGAAAGGCCTTTGGCTCCTCAAAGCAATTGCCCTGTTGATGTCTTAGATATTAAGGGGTTTTTCCCCTGGTGGTTTTCATTTTGTTGTTTTTAGGAATTATGTTTTTGTGCCATTTGTATTTGTTACATGGCTTATGTCCCACTTATCCGGGAGAAAGTGATTATCAATATTTTTGAACACATTAGAGACATGCACAACCCATAAAAGCCATCTAATTTACCCAATTAAGTTCCTGGGTGGGGGGGAATGCAAGAGAATGCAATTTTACTACATAGCACATGTCTAACAAAAGCAGTTCTGCTAAAACACATTAGAAGGAAGAACAGCACCTCAACATTCAAATTCAAATTTATTATGGCCAATTGACCAGCTGTACAAAAATAAAATAGTACAAATCACAAGCCCCATCTACTTTAAAACTGTAATCATATCCCCAAATTCTAAATCTCAGATGAGAACTTTCCTCAGTCTGTGCTTTTTGTTAAAAACTTCGGCTTATTTATTACTAAAAAACCCAATATTTTGCTACTACCAAAGTTACTGATTTCTTGGTGTCTTCCAACAGATATTCCAGCAGCACAGTATCTGCAAATTTCAGATAATTATCCAAGGGTTTACATTGAGAAAGTAAAGGAAATATTAACTGATGTCTTTCTTTGAAATAAAGTTTACAGTGTAAAACAATGTGAGTGATTGTTTCAGCTTCTTCATCTCAGCATAGGCAACATCTTTGATGGATAGGCCAGCGGAGATACCTTCCTTACAGCATGTTGGAAGGGATGGCATCAAAATGCACTCTAGAAAAGGCCTATCTGTATTTTTCATATGTGATATTAGAGAGATATGGTGCTGCTGCAAACCCAGGCCAAGATTTTAGGTTACTATACATCATGGGTAAAAGCGCTCCATCAGTTTGAGCCTTAATATTGATCAAGCACTGATGAACCAAAGATTTCGCTTTACTTATACCCATTTCCAAAAGATTTACTGGGCATAACCCAATGGTACATAACTTATCCATTATTCTGATGGACCAGTCCAGATATGGAGTAGAAACTAAAAGCACGGGGGTCAGTCCTGTAGGCTTCAGGTAGATTCTCAACCGATAATAGACCGAATTTATCCAAATTTTCAGTTCCACTCTTGGTACGCCAGCCTCCTGTCTTAAGACCACATTAGCTGTACATTTTGGTTCATTAAACAGGGCTCTGAGAAATTTAGATTGTACTCTCTCTAGTGTCTTAGAATTATTATTATTTAAAATTATTTGCATCCCATAGGTAAGCTGGGTCAGCACTTTGGCAGAAGGAAATTATAACGTTTATAGTATATAACAGTAGAAAAACACTAACTTTACAAATTCAAATAAAGCGCATCAGCAAATTTTCAAGCTTCAGTTGAGCAGTCATAAAATGATCACACTAGGAGGGCAATTATATATACACATCCAAGTTACAAAATAGAAACTTCAGCGGTAATTTACAAGATAAAGCTGCAAGCCGCTCACAAGTTCTGCAGATAAATATTTTACATCCAAGAAACGTTTTACATCCCTCTCCATGGATGTCTACTGATCTTGCATTGCATATGTAAGTTCTTCTGCAGGAGAAAGGGAAAGACAGAGTCAGGGAAGAAATGTAGCTGGGTGGCCTTATCAATCTCTTGACCAAACATGTGGTCTTGCCCTAATCAAAATTCACCTGGTCTCACACAGACTTTCCAGAAAATTTCATTCTTCATCTTCTCCACCAAGGTAAGCTCCAGCTCCGCTTCTCTACACTGCGCACACACTTCAAAATACTGTTGCTCAGCCTCTGCATCCACATAGTTAAACTTCAGCTCCTGCAACAAAGAGTGTGTCCCTGAGTATGGATGTTGCTTTACCCACATAGCACAATGAAGAACTGATAGCATCTCCTCAAACTGCTCTGTCACATTGGGCATTACAATATCAGCATGTAAATTCAAAGAGTTCAGAAGACATTAATTAAATTGGTCATTTCTTACTCAGTCTTACTGATCCGCTTAATTCTCTTGCTCACTACTTTTAGTCTGAATTTAAGAAAGTCTGCTTAATATGCAGATGAATTGCCTCTGAGAAATAAAGTAAAAGAAACAAGGATATTACCAGCTTCAAGCTTGCTAGTGGTGTTCTATAGATTACTGGACATCATACAGTAATAGTTCCAGTTGAAAAAAAGTTATATTCTCCCAAGTTAAAAAAAAATCTGAACGATTCACAATCCTTAGGCCATATCTTTTAAAGAGTAAAATCATCTTAACCCCCAGCTGCTTGGATATGATCTCTAGAGAATTTCAGATTTGCAACCATCAGGCCCTTCCTAATCCAATCATTTTACTTTTAAAAAGTACCTCCTAACTGTGTCCTGTCCTGCATTAAAATCTCCAGCTAAAATCAGAGAGTCTAATGGAAATTTTGTGTACTTGTCAAGAATACTGTTTCATCTGTACATTTTAGGTCTTGTACCTATTTTGTATCTGCATATTTGTAAATAAATTAATTTAAACTTTAAAAAGAACACCGTTTCATCTTATTTCAGCCTTTATTGATATCAGAGATGGAGATAACAAGAGGAAAATAAATATTAATTGCATTTCGTGTTTGCCATAGCCAGGGGATCATAATATGGTAAGGAAAACACACATGCTACCAATGCTGGAGAAATCAATCAGGTCATGCCTGCTTTTATCCTCCGATTACCATTAGAAGGCACTGCCATTATATTCATGGCTATGCAGAGACCCATCTTCAAGTTATGCCTCACATATATTTGAAGATACATATGGAAGAAAGGTTTCCTATTCTGGCATTACTGTCTCAACTTCGGGAAAAGGCCAGGCATTCTTTAAAGGATTTGTAATACAGATTACCAGAAGTATACTATGGCATGTAGATCTCTCTCACCTTTAACTTAAGATAAAAGCTTTCTAGAACTTAAGAAGTGTGCAAACTATGTAAACATTTTAACTGAACCAAAATGTAGCTTTGCTATTGTAAACTATGGCCCCATTCACACGAGGCGATTTGGCCCGGGAACGGGACAGTTTGGAGGCGGATCAAAGCAGCGCGATCACACCACAACATCTGGGAAGCGTTCTGCTTCCGCCTCCAAACTGGCCCAAACCCGGGAAGAACCGCCTCAAACTGAACCACCTACCTCGGTGGTTCAAACGGATGAGGCGCCTCTTCCCGGGCGTCTGATCGCCGGCGCTCCCTTGCGCCGGCTCAACCCCGGGCCGGAGCCGAACTGCGCATGCTCCGACATGCGCAGATCGGCCGGCTCCCGGTTAGAGCCGTCTTTTCTCTCCGGCGTTTGATCGCGCCGGGGAGAAAAGGCGGCTCGGCCGGGGGATCCGTATCAACGTTGGCGCGGCTTTTAAAAGCCGCGCCTTCGAGCGCATTTTCCCCTGCCGTGTGGCCGGGGCCTATGTATTGTAATGCTTTGCTATCAGCAGTCCTTGGTGGGCATTATAAGAAAATTCCTTCAATTCTTTTTGATCCTGTGGTGCAGAATAAGAGAGACTATAGCCCATATGTTGTTCTTCTCTAACTGCTATAGAAGATAGATTCAGGTGGGGTAGCCGTGTTGGTCTGAAGTAGCAGAACAAAGTTTGAGTCGAGTGGCAGCTTTAAGACCAACAAAGTTTTATTCAAGGTCTAAGCTTTCATGTGCAAGCACAGTTCCTCAGATACAATGGAATAAAATCTCCTCATGCCCTACTTACAGGAAAAGAGAGGGTAGGTGGCTGTTAGCCAAATTGCCTTATTTCCTTAATAAGATGGGGAAATACGAATATTAAATGGCAATGGCTTTAATTAAGGGAACCATAACCTGTGTATACTGGAGTCCAACTTATCTAGATCCCCAGAAATAGACACAGAGGCTAGGACTCAAATATGATTCCTTTACTGAATAATTCTCTCATACATGCAATATAAATAAAACAATCACACATTGAAGTGATACAGAACTAAAAAGCTAGATAGAAAGGTACAGCGACAGTTGCATTAGCAGGAAGGTATTGTTGAGGGGGGTGATACTTTACCTGACCAACGCAGTTTGCACAAATAATTACAAACAGTTAAAATTATATACAACAAACAGAAACTATCAAGAATATCCAGTTTCAAATGCTTACATATACTTAAAAATTAAAAATTGAAACTAATCTGTATAGATCCAGCATTTAAAATTTTTTCACTGTGTTGCTCTAAATAGTTCAATATAGGGTACCATTAAAGGCCATTTTCATACATTAGGCAATCCAATGCTAGAACTTAGATGAGAGATTTGGTAATATACGTACCAAGTGAGTGATCTACCAGTTTTTTCTTCCAGGGTTTGTTTGTCTAACACTCTATTCTGTTTTGTTAGATCCATAAATCTAGTGATTTTAAGTGATTCCCAAAAATTAGCATCTGCATTTTGTTGGTCTGCAGGAAACCATACCTGATCTATTAATGATAAAAACCGTGGAAACTCTGGAGTAAATTGCACTCTGTACTTATCCCAAACATTTAAAGCTGCTACAATGAATTGATTTCTATAAGCATTTGCAGAACGATCTACTCTTCTCTGCTATATAATACTCTTTATATCTATTGGATAGGTATATAAGTTAAATATATTAGTCCAGTCAGGCTTGTCTTCACTTGTCAACAGCTGTACAATGAGAGAGAGCTGTATGGACTTATAGTATTTAAATAGATCCGGAAATGGCATCCCTCCCTTGTTTGATGGTCTAGTAAGGGTCTTAGAACATATGTGATGCTCTTTTTTTTGCCCCCAAAAACCTTAACAATGTGTCTTGCCACAACTTCAGATATTTATTTGAAACTGTAATAAGAATTGCACTGAACAAAAAAATAAATTTAGAGAGGAAAAAAGATTTAACTATATTATATCTTTCAGTCCAAGTAAATTGTGATTTCTCCCAGCCTCTCAGGGCTCTTTTTGTAGCAGGAACTCCTTTGCATATCAGGCAACACACCCCTAATATAGCCAATCCTCCAAGTGCTTACAGAGCTCTTCTTACAGGGGCTATTGTAAGCTCTTGGAGGATTGGCTACATTAGGGGTGTGTCGCCTAATATGCAAAGGAGTTCCTGCTACAAAAAGAGCCCTGCAGGATTGGGATTTATTTATTTATTTATTTACTTTAAAATTCTAAACATATTGTACTACATGCAAAGCCTAATGTGTGTTTTCTACAAGATCTCTTCCTGGCATAAAGCCTACTTGATCTTGTGAAATATAATTAGTAATGAATGTGTTTATGCGATTTGCCAGGGTTGCTGTAAATAATTTGAAATCCACATTCAACAAGGATATTGGGTGGTAAGGCGAAGGCGTAGTAGGGTCTTTACCAGGTTTGGGTAGAACTATCATTGTTGCTGATGACAGAGAGATCCTTCAGCAGAGGAAAAAAAAACGTACGTATGTCTCACTTCATTTTTTACACTACAATCTTCTCCATCAGAATTCCTACAACAAAGCTCTGTGCTGGTGGTCTGGTAGTGATCTGAACTGGCCCTCACGAGCCAGCTACCCAAGTTGCGGGGGCCGCGCCAACGTTGATCCGGCTCGGCGGGATCCCACGGATCCCCCGGCCGAGCCGCCTTTTCTCCCCGGCGCGATCAAACGCCGGAGAGAAAAGACGGCTCTAACCGGGAGCCGGCCGATCTGCGCATGTCGGAGCATGCGCAGTTCGGCTCCGGCCCGGGGTTGAGCCGGCGCAAGGGAGCGCCGGCGATCAGACGCCCGGGAAGAGGCGCCTCATCCGTTTGAACCACCGAGGTAGGTGGTTCAGTTTGAGGCGGTTCTTCCCGGGTTTGGGCCAGTTTGGAGGCGGAAGCAGAACGCTTCCCAGATGTTGTGGTGTGATCGCGCTGCTTTGATCCGCCTCCAAACTGTCCCGTTCCCGGGCCAAATCGCCTCGTGTGAACGGGGCCAGAGATTCTCTAATAGTATTTACTTATGTACTACACCAAGGACAAACCTAAAGCATTACTTAGGTGTACCTCTGGCCAGAAGTTAAATGATCTGATATAGGAAAACTAACTGGACTACTAAGAAGAAGAAAAAGAGATTGGATTTATACCCCGCCCTTCACTTGGGAGTCTCAGAGCGGCTTACAAACTCCTCTCCCTTCCCCTCCCCACAACAGACACCCTGTGAGGTGGGTGGGGCTGAGAGAACTCTGACACAAACTGCTCTTTTTCAAGGACAGCTGTGCCAGAGCTTGTGACTGACCCAAGGGCTTCTTAAGTACACACCTATGTCTAAATCAGGCCTGACCTGAGTCATCCAGAACAAAATAGCATAAGCTGTTTGTTTTAAGACTGTACTGTATTATTGAAAAAGGTCAGTTGACCAAACAATAAGGGACTGTTATTAATTTAACCCATAGATTTCCATACAAGCTGGACACTTTTCACTCAAGGTAAACAAACCTTGACTGTATAAATCCAAGTTTAGCTCCTCACTTTCTCATGCAGCCTAGGTTCCTTCAGGCAATACCTTTTGTCATCTCAGTGCCTCACCTTGGGACTGGCTTTGACTTCCTCTGACCTCCTCACAAGAAAGCAAGATCCAATAGTCAGAGGCTTGGTAGTCTGAGTGGGTACCTGAACTCTTCTTGAAAGGCAGGTTAGTTCACGCACGTGGATAGCCTGCAAAGAACAAGCAAAGGCACTTTTGAGACACATGAGAGGAGTCAGAAAATGGTCAGATGCCTGGATCCCCCCCTTCAACCCGCATGGTGGAGGCACAGCCATTCTCCTTGCAGCCATGCCACATCTTGAGAGCTACTACGGCATGCAAGAGACAATCAAACATTTCTGACAGTAGACAAGTGAAACTGGGAACTGTTAGAAGTACTTTGGACAGCAAATTCACTAGGAAATGAATGCCAATATGTGACAGAACATCTGGTAAAATGTTCATCTGCAGGGGTCATTTCATAGAAAAAGAGGCGCAGGAGCTCATTAGCATAATGTATTAGCATAACTTATTTGCATATGCCATACCCCCTGACATCACCGGAAGGGTGTCGGAAGGCAACAGGCTCCACTGGACTGTTTTGGATTGCTAGGTATTGGGGGGGACGGACGTGCAGATCTGTCCTCACAGAGGAGGGAGAGCTTGTGCCTGAATAAAACTTAAAGGTGCCACTGGACTGTTTTGGATTGCTAGCTATGGGGGTGGGGGGAACGCGCAGATCTGCCCTTACAGAGGAGGAAGAGCTTGTACCTGCTGGTAAGATCTACTAGTATTCCAGCTAATTGATTCCAAGTTACCTTTATCAGGGAGCAATCGTTGGGGAGGAGATATAGATGGAATTTTAGGGGTGAGACTCCATGCACCTGGTAGAGCAGTGCTGCAGCATGGACCTTTGTTTTCCTTTTAAAGAATGTATTTTTGAAAACTACACCGCAGGGAGACAACCTGAGGTGTTTCAACACAATGTGAAATGGCTCCACACCGTCTGGCTTCTCGAGAGTCACCCTCCCTTCTGCAAAATGTGCAATTTGTACTCTGGGGCTGTCTTCCTGTTTCCCTGTCAAAGGAGAACAAAGGAAGCATGGTTAAAGTGCAAGCTTAGCACAATGGGCTGGGAAGCTATTTAAAGTTCACCTGCTCCTGAAGACACCAGATAGAACATAAATGCAGTAAAGAACAATTATTTCATTGTGTCAAGTGAAGAAACTGATATAATCTCTCTAGTTCTTTGTGAAGCTTGTTTGCTTATTCTATTTCAAACTAATGAAATGTGCATGCCACCCATCCACCTAGGTGACACCTGAGACCTATGTGGAGGACATGGCAGACCAGGAAAAACTCCCCAGAAAAATTGAATTGGCACAACATGAGACACAGTCAGAGGTTTTACTTATGGGTCTTTAAAAACTGGCACTTGTCTGTCTGGGTGTGTACCTAATTCTCATTGCTTAGCTTCTCTTTTTCTAAATAAAAAAAAACTGACCCCAGAAAAGGCTGCCCTAGAAAACCTCCTTGGAGTAATTCTAAGGATGAAGTCAAGTCAAGTTTATTCGATATGTAACCAGCACAAATCAGTTGCAGCCATAGTTTAACTGTGTCAGCACTACAATTGTAAGGATAGTTTTCACCCCACATTATCATTTGACAGTAATTCAGAAATTACTCTGAAGTTCTCACAAAACACTCTTAACTGAATTTGCTGTGGGCAGCTCTGATTTTGATTTTAGTAGGGATGCGTTTGTTTGTTTGTTTTAAATTGCCTCCATCATTTTCCTGATCTAAATTCCAGTGAAGGATCAACAGCAGTTAATAGAAACAGCTTGTCACAGATGGATCTATTTATTTTTACCAAAAAATGGTGTACATGGCTGAGGGCAGCTGTAACTTGTTTCCCTGTGCTCAGCTGAATGATTTCTGTAGCCTGGGAAGGGGGGAAATGCATCAAACGTCAAAGAGCATTGAAATAAGGTGGAGAGGACTACATTTTACTTCTCCTCAACTGAGCACTACATTTTGGTTAAAAAGGCATCTCCATGCACACTTTACATGTAAATATCAGGTACCCCAACAGCTACTTAGTTTTCAATACAATTGTAGATATTAAAGCTACAAGCAGCCCTTCTCTTGTCACAGAGGGAAAGAATGAGCCTTCTCTATTACCAATCTCCTTTTGCCTCTAAACATGCAAATACGTTGACTCTTTGGGGGAAAGACTTGGCCTGCCTGCCCCACTCCTCAGGGCAGACAGGTGACTACCAAAGCTTCTGTGTCTGCCTCCTAACATCTGCCCTGCTTGTCTTTCTGCAAGTAAAAGAAAAGCTTTGCCTTTGGCTTAGCAGATGCATCCCACCCCCAGGTAACAAAATATGCAAGACAAATAGATTTAAGAAATCCACTCAGACTTCAGGTGCAATGACTGATGTCGGGGCTTTTTTTTAAAGAAAAAGCCCAGCAGGAACTCAGCATAATAGGCCACACCCAAACAGCAGAAACTCATTAGCATATTAGGCCAAACCCCTGACCACAGAGCTCATTAGCATATTAGGCCACACACCCCATGTTACCAGTAAGTAACCATTTACCATAAATGCATTCTCCAAACCCACCCCCTGCTACTTTGGCTTTGAGAATGTCTCGGGCTCCACTGGACTGTTTTGGATCACTAGCTATTGGGGGGGGGGGAAGGACATGAAGATCTGTCCTCGCAGAGGAGGGAGACTTTGTACCTGAATAAAACTTGGTCTTAAAGGTGCCGCTGGACTGTTTTGGGATTGCTAGCTATGGGGGAGGGGGGATGCAGAGATGTGTGCAGAAAGAAATAAAGAGAGAGAGAGACAGAGAGAGAGAAGGAAAGAGACAAGGAATGGAGGGAAAGAAGGAGGGAAAGAAAGAGAGAAGGAAAAAAGGAGGGAAAGGGAAAGAAAGAAAAAGAAAGAATGGAGGGAAAGAAAGAGTAGGAGAGAAGGAAAGAAGGAAAGAGGGAGAGAAACAGGGAAAGAAAGAAAGAGGGAAGGAAAGAGGGAGGGAAG